GTGGCTGTGATTTCATGGTCTCCCTTCCTGGATGGCTTACTTTAAGGATGGCCCAGGTTGTGCTGATGTCACAATTCAGGTGCACCCAGCTCCTGCATCCTGCCTGTGATGTCACCAGGGCACAGGCGTGCCACAGGACAGCCTACGGTGCTGTGCAGAGCTGATGCGTTTTGCTTCTCCACCGATGGATGCTCAGCTCCTGAGTCTCCATCTCTTGGGGGCAAAGAGCTACTGGCAGCTAGGACCACTTGCAGCTGATGTAATATCTGCTCATATTTCTGACCAAAGAGGGAAAATGGCCTGTGAGCAGCAGGAGGGTCGTGGGAGCGTGTTTCTTCTCTGGAATGTGATTCTTGTGAGTCGAAAGGACAGGCCTCTTGGACTAACATGCAATCCAAGCACCATCCTGGCACTGTTCCTCTGCCTCTCCTCTTCTTCAAGGTTTGCTTTTAGTTTATGAGTGTTGTGTCTGCACGTGTGTGTTTACCACATGCATGCAGTTCCTGAGGAGGCCAGAAGAGGGCGTCAGGCCCCCTGCAGCTGTGAGTCACTGTGTGAGTACTGGGAACTGAACCCAGGTCCTTTGCAAGAGCAGTAAATGCTCTCATCCACCGAGCGGTCTCTCCAGGGTCCCCCTTTCCTCCTCTCCCTCTTCTCCATGCTGGTGATCAAACCCAGCTAGGCAAATGCTGTACCAGGGAGTTACATCCCCAGCGTAGTGCCAAGAATCATCTGGATGGAATATTCTGCTTTTACTTTAGTTTCCAACCTGGGAAGGAGAGATCAGGGCTTCGGAAACTGAAGAGAGCTGCCATCACCCTTGTTTAGTGGCTTCTCTTGAGTCTTATCTCCTGTCTTTCTGAACCCCACAGGAAAAAGCTTTCTAAGAAGTTTCAGTCTGTCAATCTGCCTCAAAACACTAGCCTGACTCCTCTCATTGAGTGGAATTGGGGAACAGAAGGCAGCCTTCCCTCATTGTAGGGTTTGGAGGAAGCGTGTCAGCATCTTCTCCTAATTAGTGTCTGCTGCAAGTTCTTTGTAGAAATCTTGTGTGAAACTAATGGGGTTCTTTTTCTTTGGGGTGTTGGGCATCAAACCCAGCTTCTCCAAATGCTGGGCTTTGAAAAATTTCTGGATTCCCACTGACAAAAGATGCAGAATGTATTCAGGACCTCGTGGCAGCACTCGGCTGCCTTGCCTTACGCAACTTCACTGAGGTCTGCACACATACCACGTGCAGTTTGCTCAATGCATGTCATCACAGCACAGAAGCACAAACACTGCCTCACACACCTCTGCTCAGATGGGATACTGTTGTATGTTGTAAACTGCAGTGTTTTGACTGTACATATGACGTTGTTTTGCTCTTATGGAAACATAATGCTTTAATTACAAAAATACAACATTTTACTACTGCATTCCTCAGCATGCGTCAAATCAGGATTCCATTAGAGCATGGTGTTGAGGTTTGAAATGGTGACCCAGTGCATGCTGGGTAAGTCCTGATCAGCTGAGGTATTTCCTCAGCACTTTAAAAAAAAAAAATTATTTATTTATTTATTTTCCTAGGCAGGGTTTCTCTGTGGCTTTGGAGGCTGTCCTGGAACTAGCACTTGTAGACCAGGCTGGTCTCGAACTCACAGAGATCCTCCTGCCTCTGCATCCCAGTGCTGGGATTAAAGGCGTGTGTGACCACCGCCCAGCTCTCAGCACTCTAATTTTTAGTTTCTATTTTGTAAAAGGATGAAGTTGCCCAGACTGGCCTTGAACTCGTGGCATATCTAAAGATAGCCTCCATTCACAATCCTTGTGCTTTCGCCTCCCGCGTAGGTGACACGAGGGGTATGTTAGGTCAGTAGAACCCCAAGCCTCCCTCCATGCAGTCCTGGCAGAGGCCTCGTGTGCTTCAGCTGTGCTCCTGACCACAGCAGAGGGCTGTCGCCAGGGGCCCTGACCTGGCATCCCTGGCTCTCCTGCTTTCCTCTATCCACCTCTGGGAGTGGAGAAGAGCTTTGCGAGCCCTGTCTGTCAGAATTAGCAGATACCACCAAAAACTTTGAGTTTCCTTCTCCTGGACTGAGGTCCTTTCTTTGCCAGACCAGGTACTTGAGCATACAGTGGCAGCCTCCACCCCAAACACAAAATCGCCCTGCCCTCGACTCCCAGTACCACAGTGTCTACTATCTCCCCAATGGCCGGGTTTCCCATTCCCCCACTGCCTGTTTAAATGCCCACACTGAGTGCCTCACACAATCGATGCACTTTGTGCAAGCAGATGGTCTGTCCCTCCCGCTGGGAGCCGGCCATGTTCCCAGAAGAGTGTCACTTCTCGTTGGATCTGCCTGCCACCACTGAGATTACCGTTTGTTTCCCATTGCCTACCACTGCCTTTTCTTGCCTTTTACAGGTTTCTGTCCCCTTAGAGTCCATCTCAGGATATTCACCCACACGGCCAAGGCATCTCCCCGATGATGCCAGTCTGTGTGGGCTGGAGATTCAAATCCTCCCTGCTTGAGGAACTGAGAGTGAGTACCTGCAGTTGGACCCCGAGCCCCCGACTCACACTGCATCACTGTGCAGAGAAATGTGAATCGCATCTGCTGTCCCCAGCCCTTTAATAACGGGTTTGGTAATGTCACGCGCCACCATGGAGCCAGCCTCTGTTGAAGGTTTGGCTGTGTGACTAAGCAAGTGCTCTCTCCCTCTCTTCCTACCTCCTTGCTGGATGTGACTTGGCCCAGAAGGAAGGACCTGTACCTGCCACAGGGGGATGCTGTGTTTGAAGGTGGCAGAGCCTAAGAGGAGGACTCAGCTTTTCAATGGAGCCGACACACAACCTTGGTATGGCTGTGGTGAATGCTAGGAGAGAAACAAACAGCCATGTTGAGGTAGGTTACTGCCTCTGGCATTTATGAATGTAGCAATCTAAACAATGGCTTAAGAAAGCTCTACTTGTAAAAATAAATTAGTAAGTTAATTAAAAAGTAAATGTAAGCTAGGCAGTGGTGACACACGCCTTTAGTTCCATCACTTGGGAGGCAGAAGCAGGTGGATCTCTGTGAGTTAGAGGCCAGCCTGGTCTACAGAGCCAGTTCCAGGACAGCCATGGCTGTTACACAGAGAAACCCTATCTCAAGAAACCAACCAACCAACCAACCAACCAACCAAAAAAAAAAAAAAAAAAAGAAAGCTCTACTCTACTTGGGGGCTGAAGGTGGCTCAGAGGGTAAAGGCTCTTGCAGCCAAGCCTGATGACCTGAGTTTGATTCCCAGAACCTTCATGGTGTAAGGAGAGAGGTGATTCCTGTCGTGTCCTGTGCTAGCATATTATTTTCAGGTGTGTGACTTTTGTTTATGCTGCATTTGTTTAACTCTGTGAAGCTGATTCTTTGCCTGTTGAAAATCCCTCATGGTCTAATAAAGAGCTGAGCGGCCAATAGGGAGGCAGGAGCAAGGATAGGCGGGGCTGGCAGGCAAAGAGGAGAAATAGAAGTGAGGAAGAGAAGCAATGAGAGAACTGGGGAGGAGGACATCAGGGGCCAGCGGGCCAGCGGGCCACAAAGCAGGCGTGATAGTAAGATACACAGAAGTAAGAAAGAAAAAGCCCAGAGGGAAAAAGGAGATGTTTAGTTTAAGGAAAGGTGGCAAATGCACACATGGTCCAAGGCCCAGTGCTTGTTTCTTTATTGACAAGAAAGTCATGTTTCAGACTTGTTCAGACACATGAACAGTCACAAAGGACAGCAGTGACTGGCATGGTCCCAGAAGCATGGAACAAAGGCCATGATGGAAGGTGTGGATGTCCCTTTGGCCCTACTCCCTTAGCATGTCTTATCATTCCCTCCCCACACCCTGCTGACAGCTGAGAGTTGACTGTGGAGATAAAGTCACCTGAGAGGAGGCTGGTCTCTGCATGGGACAAAGGAAAATGCAGGAAGACCTCCTCCCCCCAATTTGACAGTCCAGGGGAACTGGTTGTGTAGGCCCCAGGCATCCCCAGTTGACAGAGATCTGCAGTGGTCAGCAAGACTCTCCAGCAAGGATTGCAAAAACTAGAGTGGTTCAAAGAGAGCAGCGAGTCCCCTCCGATGCCTGGAACACAGGACTGCTATTAGTAACTTCAGGCTACAGCGAGGAAGCCATCAACACTTGCTCTCTAGGACAGGAGGACAGGACGTCTCTCTCTCTGGGTTTAGGCTTGAGGCTCTCTGGAATGTTCAGACTTGACTAACGTCCCCACTCCCCATATCCCCCTCACCTTGCTGAATGTGCGACTAGAGGCACCAGGCCTGTCCAGGACCCTGGCCTCCACAGACGCCTGGTGTGTCTGAGAAAAGCTGAGGGACAAGGGGGCTTCACAGGGTGAGTGAACAAGAGGCTGCTTCTCCCAACATGACACCACCTGCTGATTTGGTCAAAGGTCCCTCTTCTAAGTTCTAGTTGTCTGGGCAGAGCAGGTTGTCCTTGAATACACACTTTTCTATTTTTTTGAAAGAGACAACAGGATGGATGCCTGGGACCCTCTGGAAAGTGGACCACTTTTCCTGAAGGCAGGCCATCTAACATGGTATGGCTGTCAGACAGTGACACAGCCAGGTGGGGAGAGATGCCAGCACTAGTTGATATGCAGGGGCCTTGGACAGACACAACTCTAAGCTACACTGCAGATACAGAGAAGGGAAGAGACTGCTGGAGAGCAGCCAGCCTCATGATGAGACAGCACATACACAAGGCTGCCTTTCTAGAAGTCACCACCCTCCAGCCCTCGGTAAGCAGCTGTGCTATAGGAGACAGAGATCCCACTGCATAAACGCTGAATTCTTGTCTGCCAACATTGAATGCCCAGGACAAAGTGGGGGGCGGCGGTGGAGATGCAGGGAGTACCACCATACATGTGAACACACACACACACACACACACACATACACCCACACCCCCACGGCTGAGGATGATGCTGCAGGGCTGCTTTGCCACAGTTAGAAACTAAGGAGAGACACAAGTACAACCTATCAGTGCATGTTCAAGAGACAATCACAGAAACACTACCACCACTTTTAGTTGTGACAACACGGCACATTTGGCAGCTTCCACGGAAATAGCCTTCCTCACCCCAAGCCATTAAATAGGGTCCACAAAGTCCGTTCTCTTTGGTCCAGTACAAGAAGCTGGGGGAGGAAGACGGGGCCAACCAGGTAAGAAATGAAGACGCAGTTACAGCAACTGCTTAGTACCGTCGTCCGTCCAGCCCTGCTAAGGGTACCACAACCTCTAACCTCCTGCTCGAGGCTGGGCCACCTGGGGCACCTCGGGGTGAAGCCACGCATGGGAACAGGGCGGGGCTCAGAACCAGGAGCAGCAGCCACCACACTCTTAAGCACAGCACAGGACACCTCATCCTCCTGCCTCTGAGGCTCTGTTCATAGGATTGTGGGTCCTCTGGCAACTCTAGTCTGTACCCAAAGCCTCGATTCAATGCACTAAGGCTGGAATCATCTACACTCCTGCCAACCTCAAAAGATGCCCCGGTGAGGGAAGAATGGCCCATCAGGGCACACACAGGCTGAGGCCAGGGCCCAGCTCTGGACCAGCCTCCTTGTCTAGACGGTTTTCAGGGAGCTAGACCCTCCTCCTTTTCCCCCAGCTCCCCGTAAGGCTCCAGCCAGGGACCCATCCCAGATGCTGTTATGAAGGTCTGTCATAACTGGCTAGAAAACAAAAACAGGGTTCTGGAAAGGGGCCGTGGGGCCAGAGGCGCGCTGTCTTCGTCCGAGGCGGGCGGGGCTCCTCCGGTTTGCGCAGACACCACTTCTCTAGGACCAGGTGTAGCTTCGCTTCGCTTTGCAGCAGCTCAGTTACTGTACAGGTGCAGGGGTCCCCTTCACAGCTGCTCAGCCGATCACTCTCTTGCCTTCAGGGTTCTGGAACTTCAAATTCCCTGTTTACATCCGAGAGCCTCTCTCCTGAAGAATCTGAAAGTGAAGATGGCGGAAGACAGTCAAGAGGTGAGGCTCAGGGTGACGCATGTGCTCAACCGGGCAAGGCTGGGTCCCCGGCAGCAGTGTGGGGCGCAGGCACTAAAACACAGAGCAGCTGATGACAGTGGAGTGAGCTGGACATCCTAAGGATTTAAAGGGGGTTTTTATGAGTCCTGCAGTGGCTTCCTCTGGCCCTGTGGACAGCTCACCATCTTTGTCAGCCCATGTCGTGAGGCAGGCTTGGAGCCTCCAGCTCACTGGGTGCCCGAGTGCAAAGAGCTCTTTTGCCAAATACAGGCCAAGCTGTTGTGACGCAGAAGGTTCTATGCTATAGGATCAAAGTTTTCTAAGTTAAAGATCACAGTTCTCGGTCACTTCAGTCAGGCTCTTCAGAAGCGTGGAGTGTGTGCAGGGGGCAGTGGGGGAAGAGAAGGGAGTAGGGACTGTCAAGGAGCAGGGCACACACTGCCTGCCTGAGTCGGGCAGCACTGAGAAGTGCCAGCAGTGCAAACCCCAGCTTCTTCACCATCTTGACAGGAGGCAAAACCCACCCTTGTCCAGGCATAGTTCCCATCACAGATTTATGAATCCTGACGGTTTGCGTTTATATGTGTTGTGTGTGTCATAAATGTGTGCATGTTTGTGTGGCAGCCAGAGGTCCAAGCAGGGCATCTTCCTCAATCACTCTCCACCTCATTTGGTTTTCTTTTTGGAGACAAGGTCTCTCACTGAAGCCGGAGCTCACCAATTTGGCTGCACTTGCTGTCTCCTACAAATCCCGATTTAAATCCAGCAGCCCAGAGAGGAGGAGAGAAAATTCATAGTTGGGAAAGGACTGGAAGGAACCCAGGGGTAGCTTGGTCAAAGCTGGACACAAAGGAGGCAGAGGGAAGCCTGGGGAAGTCATATCTTACCTTGGCTTTTTCACTTGGCTCTATGACGATGCCATTGGTAGAATTATTTAGTTCTCTGGAGACAACACAAAGGAATTCTGCCTGGTCTTCATTTCCATAGTTATAGGAGGAGCCAATGCTGATGAGCTGGAAAACAGCAGGGTGGTAACTGTACACCCATATAAGCAAGGGCTTAAAACACCCAAGTTCTGGCCAAGCCAGGCATGGTGGTGCACACCTTTAATCCCAGCACTCGGGGTGCAAAGTTAAGCAGATCTCTCCGAGTTCGAGGCTGGCATGATCTACATAGTTACAGGGAAGTCAAGGATGTTTAGTGAGATCTTGCCTCAAAAAAAAAAACAAAAACAAAAAACAAAACCAAAAACAAAAAAACTCCAAAACAAACAAATAAACAAACAAAAAACAATCAAGGAGGCACAATAACCACTAGGCCAAGTTCCCAGAGTCCAGTCAAAGAGAGGGAGGAGCAGTAATATGAGCAAAGGGGGCAAGACCATTTTGGGGAAACCCCCAGAGTCAGCTGCCCTGAGCTAGTGGGAGCTGACTCCGGACTGACAACTGGGGGAACCTGCATGGGACCAAACTGGGCCCTCTGAATGTGGGTAACTGTTGTGTGGCTTGGGCAGTCTGTAAGGAACTGGCAGTGGGACCAGGATTTAACCTTAGTGACTGAACTGGCTTTTTGAAGCCCATTCTCTTTGCAGGGATACCTTGCTCAGCCTAGAAATAGTGGGGAGGACGTTGGTCCTGCCTCAAAGTAAGGTGCCAGACTTCATTGCCTCCCCAGGGGAAGTCTTACCCTCTCTGATGAGTGGATGGGGGTGGTGGTGTGGGGGGCAGGTGGGGAGAGCAGGAGGAGGGGAGGGAGTGGGAACTGGGATTGGTATGTAAAATGAGAAAAGAGTAAATAAAAATGTTAAATAAAAAAATCAAACCAAACAAAAAAAGCACCCCAGTGCCACAGAAGTCACCCCCCTACCCCCGGCAACTGGACTATGTAGTTTTATGCTTCAAATGATAAAAATTCTCAGGGGCAACCAAGGTCCAGGGCCAAGGGGTTTAAGTGGGTCCTAATGCTGGCGTCACCATGGAGAAGCAAAGTCCGAGTTCCATTCTGTCCCCTTACCCAAGCACCTGATAACCTTCCCAAAGGCATTGGGAACATTAACATGGCCCCACCCAATATCAGTGCGGTAAGGCCAGTGTTTTTACAAGCACTCCCTTGAGTCCTGGCTGCTGCCACTGGCGGCTCCTCCAGACCAGAGATCAGAACACAGGGAGACCTGGAAGTACCAAGTGAACCACTGTGCAGCCACTAAAAGCTACACGCCATGGTACTTATAGCCCTTTTGGAGAAACAGACTCCGCTCTGGCTCTGAATTGGAAATCTGCAATAGAGAAGCTGGGCAGGGCACATGTGCAGCCCCCACAAGCACAAGGCTGAAGCTGGGGCTCTCCTGCTGCAAGACTGGGTGCCCCCACGTCCAACTTCCTCATCCACGCCTTGGAGGCAGTAAGAATAGACTTCATCCTCCTTCAGGACATCGGCAAGATTCCATCTGAGGACTGAAAGTGCAGCTCACTGGTCGGGCACACCTACACCGTGTGAAGCCATGGGCTCAAGCACCAGAGTAGGTGAACACTCATGAGCACCATTTAAAATCATCCGTTACCTTCACAGAGAACACACACACACACACACACACACACACACACACACACACACACACACACACTTGGGCCTCCTCTGGGCAGCATTGGGCCACCCACAGCTGACTGGGAACTTGGGACCCATTGACAGTGCTGGTTCTGCAGGGGAGACAGAGGCACCTCTGCCTCTCACTCTAAAATAACAGTGTCTAGACAAGCTGTAACTTTTGCTCTGTAGGTGAGCTTCTGGTGATAGTTCAGCTGGCGTCTGCAACTCCACATAAACACAGTCACCTCCACACAAAATCTCAGCTTCTTGGTGGTGAGCTGAGGCAACAGAAAATGAACAAGGCTGCCATCTAGTGGAAGAAAGTGGTAAACTCCAGATCCTCAGGGACTTTGTTTTCATAGCCTCAATTCTAAGCACAAAGCCAGAAGACATGAAGGGGAGAGAATGCTTCGAAATGACCGTGGCACACGTCTGTGTCTGGTCCCATTTTAGCATTCCTGAGATCCATACATCCAAAATGTACGTTCCTGTTGAAGCCAGCCTGATGTCATTTTGAAAGGAATGTTCCAGGTAAAGAAAAGTAAAGGGAGGGGCTTGGGTCTACAAGCGCTATGATCCTGGGCACTGTCAAATTCAAACTCTGGATGTGAAACCAAGAAAAGTGGACCTCCTCCCAACCCTTCAGACCACCACATGCCGCTGAGCAAGTATCACACTAAGGAGCTCTTTCCTAATTTTGAAATGGGTTGCACCTGCCTCACTCACTCCCAGGGCCACTGACTGGCTGGTTGTGGCTCCCAGGGAGGGAGGTGCTGGGGTCGCTGCTCTTTGAGAAATATACCTGTTCGAATTTCCAGCCGTCAGACATGGTGGAGACCATCTGAGTGAGCTCTTCCTCTTGACACTGCAGGACTCGGTACACGTGCTTCACGGGGCCCTGCAACAACAGTCAGACTAGGGTAGCATCACAGGGGCACCACTTGGACCCCGCCACCCAGAGCTGCCTTGGACCACCCACTACCTCTCTCCAAACAGCACTGTGGGATCAATGAAAACTCATCAGCTATAAGAACAGAAAGCAAGACCCAAGGACACGAAATGATTCCTACAGTAACCCTGAACTCCGGAGGGACAGTTTGTGTGAGCAGCTGTGCTGACATACTTAGAGCAACCACTCCTCAGTCACTCTGGGCAAGAAAGTCACGTTTTTAAGTGGTTTATATGTGATTTGGATACTAAAATTCATACCATATCTTGGTGTTCCAGACTGGATATAAATGATGACCTTTTTGAAATGAAAATAAATTTAGTGTATGCCATGTATTTCTGGGTACCCATGGAAGCCAAAGGAAGATGTGGGAGCCCTGGAGCTGCAGTTACAGGTGGCTGTGAGCCACCTGACACAGCTCCAGTCCTTGGCCAGCCCAGCCTGCACCCTTAACCACGGAGCCATCTGTTCAGCCTCACCCCTTTTTCTTTTGGAGAAAGGGTCTCACTGTATAGTCCTAGCTGTCCTGGGATTCATTATGTATAGCAGACTGGCCTTGAACTCAGATCCATTTTTCTCTGCCTTTCAAGTGCTGGGATAACGGCATGCACCACCACACCTTGCATGTTTGTCCAAGATGTCCTGGAATGTACTATTAACCCCAACCTGGTCCCAAGCTCCTGGTTTCTCCCCTGCCTCAGTTCCCCTTGTGCTGGGATATAGCATATTACCTGCCCCATGTGCTGGGATATGGCATACCACCTGGCAATGCACACTGCATCTTAACCTATTATCATATCAACAAGAAAACACATACTGTACAAATACTCATTAGTTTCCCCCTTTGCTGATGCTACCAGGAAGCCGTCAATGTTTAACAGCACATTCCTGTTACAGAGGTGTGGGATAATAGAAAAGAAACAGTTATTTTTTGTCTGCATTCCTGGCAGAGCTTCCCAATCCCTTAGGATTTCCTGAGTAGCTGTGGTGGGTGTGGAGCACATTTGGAATCCAACACTCAGAAGGCTAAAGCAGGAGGACTGAGAGTCCAGGCCAGATGGGACTGCACAAAGAGGCTGTATGTCAAAACCCTAAGAAACAAAAAGCCATCTTTTGGGGCTGGGGGTGTGGCTCAGCAGCAGAGTCACTGTCTAGTATTTGTGAGGTCTTGGGCTCCAAGCCAGGCACCTTAAAAGACAACACAATAAGCACGCCTTTAATCCTAGCACTCAGGAAGCAGAGGCAGGGATCTCTGCATTTGAGGCCAGCTTGGTCTACAGAGCAAATTCCAGGACATCTGGGGCTAAAAAGGGAAACCCTGTCTCGAAAAACCAAAACCAAAACTAAAATTAAAACAAAAAAACCAAAATCTAAACAATGAACTAAAGAATAACCACTACATAGTTCTAAGAGAGAACATGCCCTTCTTTGAAAATACAGACAAATAACCCTGTGGTTCTCTCCATACATTTACCCACACATTTTAGAAACAATAGACTTATAATATCAAATTCAGAGCATTCCAAAAGATTTGTGATATTGGCCAGAGTAGCCAAAGTCCCTAGTATCTAAACTGCGATTAACCAACCCCCTTTTTTCTCTTCCAGAGTCAACCCACCAGTGTTCCAAAGAGAACCAAGACTAATTACATATACATAGATTAGATTAGATAGATAGATAGATAGATACATACATACATACATACATACATACATATGGAACAGAACTTAGAAAGGTGTCATTCCAGCCAGGTGGTGGTGGCGCATGTCTTTAATCCCATCTCTCTGAGTTCGAGACCAGCCTGGTCTACAGAGTGAGTTCCAGGACAGGCTCCAAAGCTACATAGAAAAACCCTGTCTCAAAAAAACAAAAACCAACCAACCAACCAATCAACCAACAGCAACAATAACAAAGAAAAGAAAAGAAAAGAAAGAAAAAAAGGTTTCAGCCACTAAAAGAGACAAGAGGCCATGGCAAAAGAGGCTTAGGGCCCCCACATCTTAGGCTGTGCCTGAATGCCTGCCATGCACAGCTGACAGTGCACATATTCAAGGAGGTTTATCTGGAAATCCACAGTTAATTCTATCTCAGAGAACACAGGAAAATGGAGCCTTTGAATATCAACCCATCTCTCAGAGTTCACCGCATAAAAAGGACAGATGAAAGGTCAGTGAACAGCAAAAGGTCTTGACATTCTTGGAACAAAAGAGCTACCGACGGTGAGAGTCCTAAAGCCTTCAGAATCTAGGGGACTAATTAAGTTAATTGCTGCCATCAAATAGAAACCTCAGGATGCTCTCAAGGAATCCACCAATGGCAAAGAATGCAGAACACTCAGGTCCTATGATTATGGATGGTTTCAGATTATGCAATTCAGGGTACCATCAAAATTTCTACTAAGCAATCAAGTTTTCTCTAGAATACAGGAAACTGGGGATAAAGCTAGACTTCTGAAACATCTAAGCTATTTATTAAATATCTACAAAGCAAATGATGCCAGGGGAATGTAAGACGGCAGAGACAGAGAACACAGGGTCCTGGTTCATGTCTACCAGGTAAAAATCTACCTAGGAACATCAACAAGAAGCCACCTGAGCATGGGCCAGAATAAGTCTATCTCTGCAAATGCATGGTGGCTCAACAGCGCTGACTGCCTTTCCTTTAGTAGTGACAGCCAACACCATGACACATTAAGGAAAAAAAGCCACCATAGGGGATCAGGTAGTGTAAGAAGCAACTGTGCCGGAGCCGGGCGTTGGTGGCGCACACCTTTAATCCCAGCACTCGGGAGGCAGAGGCAGGCAGATCTCTGTGAGTTCGAGACCTGCATGGTAGTCTACAAGAGCTAGTTCCAGGATGGCCTCCAAAGCCACAGAGAAACCCTGTCTGGAAAAAAACCAAAAAAACAAAAAAACAAAAACCAAACAAAACACACAAAACACACAAAACACACACACACACACACACACACACACACACACACACACACACACACAACCACACAACAATGTGCCATTCAGACAGGTGGCCACGGAGGAGCACAACCTGCGGGTACTGCAAATCTGGAGTTGCCATTTCTTAGACAAGAAAAGGGAGTCTATTCCCTTCTGCTGGACTCCAAGAACCTTCTCCTGTTACAGTTGCAAGGGCTTCACACACCACAACAGCTGCTCACCTACGGATGAAGGACATGGAAGCAGGCTAAGTCTGCCCTGTCATCTGCCCTCCCCCAACAAGAGGTATTTCTTACCACATCTACTGAACTTAATAAGAAAATCCAGATATTGTGATAAATATGAGGCCAGACTTCATCTCAGTGGCGCATTCACACTTTTTTTTAAGTGGCTTGCAGAAACTGACGTGAGGTGATCACAGTTGAAAGACAGACCCAGTACGTAATAGGAACAAGCAAGACTGTTGGCTTTCACACGGAGGGAGGCAGATGCTCCATCAGCAAAAACAGGCTGTGCTGGGCCTGGGAATCCCAGCACTAGGGAAGCTGAGGCAGGAGAGTGCAGACTAGGCTGGGCTACAACCTGGAGAGCAGGCGGGGGACCTAGAGTGGGCTGGGCTCTTACCACTACCACATGGGAAACAGTAAGGCTCTATATAGCCTAAGAGGTGGGGCTGTTCTGTTTTCTCTGCTATTTCTCCTTAACTTCCTCACTCTGAGCCATCTTGCCCTCCAGCTCTGAGGAGAAAGGCACCCTTTTGACATCGCACACAGAGAGACCACTGGAGAGGTTTTGCCTTTAGCAGTTTCAGACACCTTACTTGTGAAGTTCTGTTCTCATTGTCTCGTATCCTTTCCTTAACCAGCCGCACGAGAGATGCGATATTGTAAAACTCTGCTTCTTCCAGCACACCTAGAACAAGGACCAGACCCAAGTTAAGAGATGTGTGAGCTCACTGGAAAACACCAAGACAAGGCTTGCAGATAACTGCAGCTCGATGGCAGTGGTGGCGAACACCTTTAACCCCAGCACTTGGGAGGCAGAGGCAAGTGGATCTCTGTGAATTCAAGGCCAGCCAGGGCTACACAGAGAAAACCCTATCTAGAAAAACAAAACAACACAACAAAACCCAACCAACCAACTAAACAAAAAACCAAAACCAAACCAATCAAATAAAAAAGCCCAAAGCACAGGGGTTTCTATGTGTATTTGGTGTTTTGCTTGCATGTATGTGAAGATGCCAGATCCCCTGGAACTGGAGCTACAGACGGTTGTGAGCTGCCATGTAGGTGCTGGGAACTGAACCCAGGTCCTCTGAAAGAGCAGTCAGTGCTCTTAACTACTGAGCCATCTCTGCAGCTCCAACACAGGGGTTTCTTTGGCTCTCAAATTATTCCTCTCCTACTTCCTCCTGACACCCACTCATTAGCTATCCAC